TTTAACTACCCCTCCCACTCCCTGGGTGACACATCCATCCTGGGCCTCCTGCAGTGTCACAATGCTGCCACACACAAACTGGAAGAACAACACCTCATATTCTTCCTCGGGAGCCTACAACCTGATGGCCTAAATGTGGAATTCACCAGTTTCAAAACCTCCCCACCTCTGGCCTCATCCCATGTTCAGCCCTCCCTCTCATCTCCATTTTGACCCGACGCAACCTGTCCATCTCCTTCCCCACCTATCCGCCCCACCCTTCCCACTGACCAATCCCCACTACCCCTACCTGCATCCACCTATCGCCATCCCACCTACCTTCCCCCAACCCCACCCCTCTTTCCTGTATTTATTTCCTAGCTCTCTCCGCCATCCCCAGTCCTGATGAAGGGTCTAGGCCCGAAACGTCAACTCTCCTGCTTCTCTTTCTTCACAAGGCATTCCACTCATTTCTGGTGTTGATCGAGTAAACCTTCTCTAAACTGCTTTCATCACATTAACATCCTTCTGTAAGTTTGGTGACTAGTACTGTACACCGTATTCTAGATGCAGTCTCACCAATGCCCTTTATAATTGAAACATAACCACCCGATCTTCATTTTCCCCTCGCAATAAAACATAACATTCTATTAAGTTTCCTGATTGCTTGCTGTACATGCATACTAACCGCCTGCGATTCATGCACTGTGACACCCAGATTTCTGCATCTCAGAGCTCTGCAACCTCTCACCATTTAGACGATATGTTGTTTTTTAATTCTCTCTGCCAAATGGACCATTTCACACTTTCCCACATTATTCTCCTTTGGCCAACTCTTTTCCCACTTAACAACCTGTCTGTATCCTTTTGTATGCTCCTTATGTCCAGTTTACAACTCACTTTCCTACGTATCTTTGCATCATCAAATGACATGCACTGAACACGATTATTTTATGTAAGCTGATTGTGGCTGCTAAAACATTGCAATAAGCTTGAAATCTAGGAGGAGATAAACCCTAAACTGTTTAATAGTGAGATCAAGTACAATAACATACAAAAAGGAAAGGATTAAGGTGTAAAAATAAGGGGACTCCCATTTAAGGTGGAGATGCTGAGAATTGTGATTTGAGTCTTAAGTCTGTGAAACTCTTCCTCAGGGAGCAGTCGAGCCAGGGTCATTGAATATATTTATGGCAGAAGTAGATCAATTTTTGACGACCGGGGAGTCAGAGGGTGTTGGAGCTAGGCAGCAAGGTAAAGTTCAGGCTATCATAAGAACAACCTTGATCTTATCTAATGGCAGAGCAAATGTAAAGAACCAAATAACATATTGCTGCTCCTAGCTTGTATTTATGATGCCGATATTCACTATCTGAAATATTTAATCCAAAGATATTGAGGAAAACGAGGGAAGAAAAGGCAGAGGCTCTAAAAATGGTAGTCCAGGATTTACACTGGAGAATAGCTAACGAACTGCTTGTTTTCAAAAAGGGAAAAGGAGCCATTTTAATAATTACTCGCTATTTGGTTTTACTTTGTTGTTTGGGAATTAATGACTTTATTAACGTTCTGGGTAAAGAGAACAAATTTAGAAGTAGTTAACACAGATTTCAAAAAGAAAGATGGTGTTTGCATTCCTAACACAGGAGGTCATAAAATATGACAGATATGCATAATGGAGTTGATGTAAGGAAAATGGACCTTCAGAATGTCATTGACAAGGGAATGATTGGAAAAGAGGGATATGGGATTACGCAGTTGAGGAAGAAATAGAAAATTGTATTGAAAACTGGCTGCTAAAGAAGAACCAATGAGGAGGAACTAAGTACAATTTCTCAGAGTGGATAGAAATTGGTTTGTGTTCCACGGAGTTCTGCTCTAGGACTGTTGATATTATGGATATCAATGATTTTGAAATATGGCTCAATCACAGAATGGTTAAGGCACAGAAGGAAACCATTCTGCCTGTCCTGTGTGTGTGCTGGCTGTCTGAAAACTGCAGCCTGGCATTTCCTTTCTTTTCAGATAATCAAATTTCCTCTTGAAATCCTTGATTGAATGTGCCTCCACCACAATCTCAGACAGTCCAATTTAGATCCTAACCAGTATTTAATTTTCATTGGAAGAGAGCAGAATCCAGAGTGATTTCATGGGGATGTTTACAATGTTGAGTCAGTAAAATCTGACTATTTCAGTTCATTGAACAAAAACAGAAGAAAATGCTTGTTTCGCATAGAGGGTTAGGAACTGTGTGGCAGGTGATTGAAGTAGAGGCCGTCAATATTTAAAAGTGGGTTGACAGTGGAAAGAATTATTGTAGGATAGCATTAAGCAAGTTGGACTTCAACTTGTGTTGGGGTTACGCACCAGCACAGTTTAGTCTGATGCAATTTTAATGTTAAAGGAAATATTGCAGTGTTCATAGGAAGCCATTGTCATTGTTGCTTTTGTTGAAGTCATGCATTTTGATTGGCATATACATATTTGTAACTGAAATATAATTGTGATTCCTTTAATTTCTTTTGAGGTTTTCCAACACTTAATCTGCAGACCAAAATTGGGTTGCTCCAGCAAAAGACACAGGCAGCAGAGCAGAAAGCATTTGAAGCAAAGCGTATGGCTGACCTTGCAGAGAGAGATGCCAGGGAAAAAGACAAGGAACTGGCGGAAACACTGATACATCTTAGGGCATATGAATCGGTAAGTAGCCTTCACAATATGCATGGAATTGAGAAACAAAAATTACAAGTTAAATAATGTGATGAAAATAAATTTATCATAGGATTGTCACTAAAGTGTTTGGCAATCGTTTTTCAAGAATCGTTTTTAAAGGACTTCTGACAAGTTGAGAACCTTTGCAGAATTCACAGTTAATGTTTTATTTCAGTCTATAGGGAGAATTCACCAGTCCTGACCTTCCAAGAAGGGAGGAAATGGACTGACAGAGCACAGGTCAGAGATGATGCTACTGCAGTGTTGATTCTTTGACCTGTGCCCCACTCAAACATGCTCCCCATTTGGCATGCAGAGATGTGCCCCAATGAACATTTTTTTTTCTGTAATTTCTCTAAATTAAGGTTGTTCCTAAGAATGACATATTTTGACAAACTTGGGCTTTACAGGAATACTTGCATATGCAGCAAGTGATAGATAGAGCTAAGCGATCCCACAGACAATGGATCAGACCTAAGCTTTGCAATCCTATCATACCCAGTTGTAAATGGTGGTAGATAAATTAAACAACTCACTGGAGGAGAAGGCTGCACAAATATCCCCATCCTCAATGATGGAAGAGCCCAGCACATCAGTGCCAAAGAAAATTCTGAAGCATTCACAACACTCTTAGCCAGAATTGCTGAATGGATGATTCATCTTGGCCTCTTCCACAGATCCTCAACCTCTCAGTCTTTAGCCATTTTGATTCACTCCATGTGATATCAAGAAATGGTTGGAGGCACAGAATACTGCAAAGGCTATGAGTCCTGACAACATTCTGGCAACAGTACTGAAGACTTGTGCTTCAGGGCTTGCCACACTCCAAGCCAAGCTACCCTAGCATCTACATGGCAATGTGGAAAATTGCCAAGGTATGCCCTGTGCACACAAAGAACAAATCTAACCTGGCCAATTACCATCAGTAAAATGATGGAAGGTGTCATCAACATGCTATCAAGCAGTACCTGCCGAGCAATAAGCTGCTCAGTGACGGCCAGTTTGGATTCTGCCAGCGCCACTCAGCTCCTGACCTCATTGCACCCTTGGTTCAAACATGGACAAAGGAGCTGAATTCCAGAGGTGAGGTGAGATGGACTACTTTTGATATCAGTGCTTCATTTTATGGAGTGTGGCAGCAAGGAGCCCTATCAAAACTGTAATCATTGGGTATCGGGGGCAAACCCTCTGCTGGTTGGAGTCATACCTTATACAAAAGACGATGATTATGTTTGTTGGAGTTCAGTCTTCTCAGCTCCAGGACATGTCTGTAGAAGCTCTTCACGGTAGTGTCCTGGGCCTAACCGTCTTCAGCTGTTTCATCAATGACCTTCCCTCCATCATCGGATCAGAAATAGGGATGTTCTTCAATGATTGAACAATGTTCAGCACCATTTACGACTCTTTAGATGCTGAAGCAGGTTTTTGTCCAGATTCTACAAGATCTGGACAGTGTCCAGGTTTAGGCTGAAAAGTGGTAAGTTACATTCTTACCACACAAATGCCATCTCCAAATGACAGACAATCTAACCACCACCCCTTGAAAGTCAATAGCGTTATCATCACTGAATCCTCAACTATCAAAATGCTGGGAGTTAACATTCACCAGCAATTCAACTAGGCTCATACATAAATACAGTGGCTACAGGAGCAGGTCAGAAGCTAGGAATACTGTGAGTAACCCTCTTCCTGATTCCCTAAAGCCACCACCTCCAAGGCACAAATCAGGAGTGTGATGGAATACTCCCCACTTGCCTGAATGGGTGCAGCTCCAACAATTTTCGAGAAGCTTGATACTGTCCAAGACAAAGCAGCCAACTTAATTGGCACCACATTCACAAGCATCCATTCCCTTCACAACTGTTGCTTATCAGCAGTGTGCAGCATCTGCAAATTCATTCAGAAATTCCCTAAAGATCCTTGAGCAGTACCTTTCAAACCCAAGACCACTTCTGTCACTCTCGGGTATCCTGGCCAAATTTTTTACCCTCAATCAATATCACTTAAAAAAGCAGGATGACCAGGATGTTATCTTACTTGCATTTTTGAAAGCCTAGAATAAACCTGAAACTGAAGGCAGGAGCTTTGGAACCAGCATACCAGCTTTAGAATTATGCATGCCTTTAATTTGGTGTCATCAGAATTTGTATAGTAACAGGATTCTTCTCTTGAAACTGATACATGATTCAGTTATACATATCATAAAATAAAATATGTCATGCCTATATCATTCTGGTATAACAGAAAACGGTTGCTTACGCTGATTGTATCCTGCACTAGGGTATTTATGGATTGGAAAATGCTGTTGCAGAGATTAAGGAATGCAAGCACCATATCAAGATCCGAGATCATCAAATAGAAGCAATGACAAAGGAGATAAACAAGCTTGAAATGAAGATAAATGATCTTTTGGATGAAAATGAAAATTTCCGGCAACGCTTAGGTACATCTTAAGATCCTCAGCAATGTTTGATAACAGAATACACTTGATGACATTTTTTTTACACTTTACAAAGTACAGTGGCTTTCTACATTAAACTTGAAACGGTTCCAAATACAATGAACTTAAGTAAATAGTTTTACTAGGTTTCAGTGCGATCACTCCACTGTAATCAACCCCAGTATTGCACTGTACCATGAGTATGCGGCTCCTCATGGGATGTTTGGTCATCCTATAGTCCCAGCCCCTATTGTTGTCAGTGGATCTGCTTTCTGGGTGCACAACCACTTTTGCTATCTTGGAGTAGAATATGAGGGAAAACAGCAATAGATGGCTGTGTAATGTTTTTGAAATTGAAATTTCTTGCACTAAGCCCAAATTCACACTTTCCTTGGGCAGTATTATAACATGGTTCAATTTTTTAGCTTTGATTTTTCTGTAGTCCGTTAATGCAAATTCTAATAAAGTTATGATTGTTATCTCCAGCAAGTGGTTTGCAAGGCTGGTATGGAAAAAATAGTTCATCTGCATATAACTATTAATAAACTACTAATAATGTTCTATAAACATTTGAAAAGAAAAATTGCAATTGTAACAAATGTGATCTTAGAGCATTTCAGTGTTTAGAAGCTGTGAGGAATGTGCAAATCATTGGGACTATCTAAATTTATTGCATTTTATAGCCACACATTTCACTATGGCTACAATATTTGGTCAGGTTTAAATGTCAGTATGTAGGAATGAAAATGCCTTCATAACCAATTCTGATGTCAAACCCATAAGTAGACATAAACAAAAACAGAAGTTGCTGGAAAAGCTCAGCAGTTTTGAGGAAGGGTCACTGGACCTAAAACATTAACTCCGATTTCTTTCCACAGATGCTGCCAGACCTGCTGAGCTTTTCTAGCAATTTCTGTTTTTGTTTCTGACTTCCAGCATCCGCAATTCTTTCGGTTCTTATTCTGTAAGTACACATGCCTGAGTGATGCTATGGTTGCAGCTTACAGCCCCATTTCACCATTGTCTCTGTATCACGTGATAGACCATGAACAATGCTACAAGAAATCTAGTAGATTTAAACATTTTTCAGCTGTTTTCCCTGAGGTTCGTTGCCATTTACCTGGATGATCCTAGTTGTAAAAGGTTGGGAAACCTGCCCTGTATCATGTGATGCCACTTTTCCCGTACATGACCCTGAAAGTGGATTGCAAATAAGTATTATGTGTCCTTGAATTTTTTTTAAAAATTGTTACACGCAACTATAAGTAGCACAATTACTGATATAATGATGTTGGTGATATTTTGCTCCTAATTTCCTGAACTCCGCTGTTGGAGTTATAAAGAATCAGTTTTTTCTTGCTTTAATGAAAAATAATTTGTGTTTAGGCCTCGACACAAATGAAATAATTGACCTAGGTGAATTTAGGAAAACCAAGTACTTGAAACAGCAGCAGTTTCAAGCTGAGAACCAGGTCCTGCTAAAAGAGGTTGGTGAATCATTTTGTTTGCTTTGCTATTGATTTGTCACATTAATATACAAGACCATTCCACTTAAAAGTGCAATATTCATTAATTCAGATTGAACGCTTGGAGGAAGAAAGACTGGTGTTAAAGAGGCAAATTCGTAGGATGGCTCAAGATAAAGGCATGCGAGCAGGTGTGGGAGGTAAGCTTATCGCCTAGTTTGTGATTCAGCAGTGTATACAGGACAAGCATCTCCATCGAATAGGAAATTGTTGACTCATATAATTTGAAAATGTGGAGCAAAACAAAATCAGTGTGCTTCTTGTCACCAGTGCACGCGTGTGCATTGCTTTATTTAATTACACTGGGGCAAGCTGGTGTTCATTTTAAGTGCCAGTATAAAGAAAAGAAGCTAATGAAACTCTCCCTTCTTGGCAAATTGCGCGTCTAAGTACTGCAAGATTCCCCAAGACGATCAGGATCCTTGGAGGCCTATTTTAAATAAGTGACAGCCAATTAAGCTGATTATGAATCCAATTACATTTGATCTTTGTGGGCGCACTGGTGTTTTACCAGTGATGCAGTGGCCCCTTACATGCCAAGGCCACCGTCTCCATACTTTGAGCTTTCCTGCAGCACAGCTTAGAAGGTGTGGGCGCGAAAGACAAAACAATGTGCTCCTGTGGAGTTTTTGTGCTCAATTTTGAGGTGGCAAATTTCTTCTCTCGCCCCCAATAATCTTAATTTAAGCATGTGTGCGTCCAAACGGAACCGCCATGCTGAGGCCCTCCCTCTGTCGCTAACCTGCTCCAGCAACTCTCGCCTCACCCATTGGGGTTACTGAGGTTCCAGAACTGCTAGCTGTCTGACTGGTAGGATTGAGAACTCGTCCATTGTCCTTAATCGGACTGCAAGCACAAAGTCAGCTAATTGCTACCATTAAATCTGGGAATTGCAATTTAAGAACTCCATTTTGTCCCAAAGACCGGGTCCCCACAACATGGGAATACCCAGCCCTGAATGCTGCATTATCAGCAGTTGCGTCCTTACAACTGAAATGTCAAACAAGACCCCATTTATTTTTCCCAGCAATTCAAATGAACATTGAAAGCCTCTGCAGTTAGATAAAGCACTCATAAAAGTTTAGAATGAGTGAAGCCATTTGCCCCATTTTTTTTTCTACAGTTCACACATAATGAGCCACAAACATGTAGATTATAAATCAGCTCTGTTTGCCCTTATGAATAAATTTCTTAAGTATAATTGAAATACTACATCATGTACAAAATAGGGTTTGTGAACTTCAATTTAGAATATGGAATTTTTTTTGTAACATTCAATTTGATTAAAGATTAAATCTACAAGATGTCAATCTGTGCTGTATTATGCTGTACCTAGGAATTTCAGCAGAGGACCTGGGGTTGGTGGATTCATTTAATGAGAGGATAAATACTAACAAAGAGACAGAGCTGTCAAGTTCAGTCAACTTTGAGTTAAACCATAAGGTAATCATATATGCTTTGTGCTGAAATTTTATCAAATTTATCAAAATCATGGAATAATAATTTTAGATTATGTCACAAGTTTTGACATGATTATGTTAACGTATAGATTCTGTATGACTGAAATTTACACTATAGCCTGAAATGAAATGCCAAGTCCACTGTACTGATTCTGTCTTAGCAGGAGTGAACAGAATTTAATATCTGGCAAACATAAATGGCAATAAATTTGAAAAGATCACAGAATCTGTCCTTTCCCACATAATTTTGCCTGTATATATTCCCCATACTGCTGGAACCATGATCTATAGGGAGGAATAAGAAACCGATAAAAACACAAAGTTCTGGAAAAACTCTGGTGTGGAAGTGTCTAAGTGGAGAGAAAATTGATGAGAAGATAAAATGACTTGCCAACACCCCACAATCATGCTTGCTGTTATAAAATCATCTGAGGAAGTCATCTTTATAAAACAGAATATGACAGAGACAGCTGGTCAATATGGACTGAGAGTTGTGGTGTAGAAAATCTCTAGGTTCTAATACTATTCTGAAGGAGATTGATACAACATCTAGTTGCTGTGTGCAGGTGTGCATTGCAATCCTACGGTGTCAGTGTTCGCTTAAATTCCCAATCGCAGGAAGCCGCAGGAAGATAATTTCTGAAGGAGACAAAGTCAGTGACCTTGCTCATTGTGTGTAAGCTTAAATAATGTCTCTTAAAAAGCTGATTTTTAATTAGCCATCGTGACTGGGCCCAATGGATTTATCAAGCAAGTAGATCCAAAATAAATTAAAGTCTGGATGCAGACTTTTTTTTTAAACATTGAGTAAGGTGTTTTCCTGTATTTTTATTCATAGTTGTAGTTCCAAGCAAAAGATAAGAAGCAAGTGATGATTTTGGTTCATTTAAAATACTTTTGTATCTACTTTTCCGACTGTATCAAAAGTTATATTAATTTCAAGCTTAAAGATGTTGCTAAGAAATGACCAGTGTTGAGAGGATCATGTCATATAATTTAGAATTGCATGTGCTCTGTTTTTATACAGGACAACAGTAGAAATGATATTTATTACGTCAAAGGAAGGCAAGGCTCTGCTGACATTGATTACTATAAAGATCTTGCACTAAGGAAAATGTCCAGCCAGATTTCAGAGATTCTTCAGAGGTCTGTAGGGCAGTCAGGAAGTTCTCGGAGGAGCTCTTTGCATTGGGAAGAATTGGTGACTTCCCAGACAGAAAGTTGGATTGTTCCCCATCAGGCCATAAAAGAACATTTTGAAAAGAAAAAGCCTGTTGACGAGTTAAAAACCAAACTGCCTGAACAACCAGAAACTCCAGCCAGGCCAGGGCCATTACCACCTACTTTGACAAAGCTATCAGAGCTAACTGAGAATGCTGTAGCAGTGTCACTTGAGCAAGCAGATATTCCCACGACTAGGAATGATCAGCCAGTGCATGTGACTGATTCTGAAGAGCCAGCCAAGAACTTTATCAAGAATGGTGACCCATTAGATGGTCTCCTAGAGCAGTTAAGGCTAGAACTATCAAGTCTTAAATCACAGGTTAGAAATCTGCTAATATAGAACAAATATTTGAACTTAATCAGCTTTAGCATCCTATAATAATACTGTAGAACATGCGTTTGCACTTTATTCTTGACTTTGAAAGACGGTGTGCTGGTCATGCTGTTATGGCTGGACTAATTAAGTTACTGATAATGAATTGCCTCCGATTTCCATCTGACTGCTTTAGCGTATGTGCAGGCAAATGAAGCAGAAGTTACAAAAGGCCATTTATTGAGAAGGCATTTCTCAGTTCTTTGGTTTATCACCCTCTTAAGCTTGCCCTATCAATATATTCTTCAGTTACTTTCTCCCTTGTGTGCTTCTCTAACTATTCACTTCAACTGCACGTTGTATCACCATACTGTTGAGATCATAGAATCCCTACAGTGTGGAAGCAGGCCACTCAGCCCATCAAGTCCACACCAGTCCTCCAAACAGCATCCCACCCATGTTCCTGTAACCCAGCATTTTCCATGGCTAATCCACCTAACCTACAAATCCCTGGACACTATGGGCAATTTAGCATGGCCAATCCACCTAATCTGCACACTTTTGTACTGTGGGAGGAAACTGGAGCACCCAGAGGAAACCCACGCAGACAGGGGGAGAATGTGCAAATTCCACAGGGAAGTCGCCCAAGGGTGGAATCGAACCTGAGTTCCTGATTCTGTGAGTCAGCAGTGCTAACCACTGAGCCACAGTACTGCGCCTTGTGGTGGCAAGTTCTGTATTCTGAATTCTGGATGAAGGATCTTGTAGAGAGTTCCCTATTAGATTTATCAGTGACTATCTTGTAACATAGAATCCCTACAGTGTGGACGCAGGCCATTCAGCCCATCAAGTCCAGACCCTCTGAAGGGCATCCCAACCAGACCCACCCCCTACCCAATTTCTGCATTTCCCAGCCTAGACACTGTGTGCAATTTAGCATAGCCAGTCCACCTAACCTGCACATCTTTGGACTGTGGGAGGAAACTGGAGCACCCGGAGGTCACCCGCGCAGACGCAGGGAGAATGTGCAAACTCCACACAGATGGTCGCCCAAGGCTGGAATCGAGCCATGTATATGGCTTCTAGTTCTGGTCTTCTGCACAAGTGGAAAATATCTTCATTGTGTCTGTCCATCATAATTTTGAGTACCTCTATTTGGTGGTATCACCGGCTTCTCTTTTCTAGAAAAAGAAGTTCCAGTCCATTCAATCTTTCGTGCTGAGTATAATCTCTCAATTCCAGTGTCACTGTTATAAACCATTTTCGCATTTCTTTCAGTGTCTGTGTATCGTTTCCATAATATAGACACCGAACTACACAAAGTACTAACCATGCTTTGACTATAATATGAACGCAACTAAACCGCTTTACAATTCTAGACCTCTAGAAGGTTTTCTCTGTACCCTACTGTTAAAACAAATGTATATACCAGTATATACCATGACATGCCTTTGCTTCTTAATAGTATTTTGTGTTATTTTCCAAGCGGTATGTATTGCTTACGCTTCATATTTGCCTGCAATGTAATTAATTCCTTAATCCACTGCTGTAAATTCTGTGCAACATGGGATTACAATGGGAATCAGATTACTTTCATAAACCAGGCCTTTTTGAAAGTGAGCCTGCCCTGGTGTATGAGGATGAGAAGTTTTTTGAGCAAAATATGAAGACTTCCAAGTGAAAAAGCTGAATCTAACATTGAAACGTGATTAAATCTCTCTGTGTATTCTAACTAAGTCAATGCACCTCTGTAGAACCGTCAGATACGAGGGGAGCTACTGAACAAAGAAGGAGCATACCAGAATGCAGAATTCGAACTTGCCAAGCTCAACAGGCAAATAATGCAGGTCGTACAAATTATCTTTACAAGACTAACAAAACCAAGGACATGCAAAATGTTTAAGTGGGTGCTTTATTGGGTTGCACAGCTACTTAGTAAGAGAGTTCTGTTAACAAATGTACACCATGAGAGCAGACCCAGGGAACCTTTCCCATTTTACAAAAAAGAGGGCAGAGTTTAATGCAGGCTTTGTGGCAGGGAAAATTAACCACATGTGGCAACCCAACTCCCTCACTGCCAATTGATTAATTCCTTGCTTAAGTGCCTTATTCCACTACTGCTATTGGGAGGATGCGCTATACAGTGGCAGAATGATAGGATCCCTAGTTCAAAGGCATTTGATGTCTTTTGTAATGCACAGCAATTGGATGGGTGAGGGCCAACTTGGCGCACCCCCTCCAATCCAATGATACCCCTCCTGCCATTATCCACCAGTACCTGGGTTCCTGGTATCTTTGACCTTGGATGACTGCACTACTGGCAAACGTTACCACCTCCCTTGTGACACTGCCGAGCAATGAGTAGCTGTCAGCCTCTAAATGGTTAGCAACTCTTAATGCTTTTACCCCCAGGGTCCTTGATCCTGGTGAAGGCCCACCACTGGCCACCTGATTGAGATTTAATTTGGTGAGACTTCCTGAAAGGAGAAAGCACGGGCTCTGGCAAATGAGATCCCCATCACCTCCATTAAATCTGGACCAGGGTCACTGGTATAAATGAGGGAAGGGTGCTTCTACTGAGATATTAATGTGAAATCACGATAAAAAGATTTAAACGTGGCAGGGAAACTAAACAAGAAAATAATACGTTGTGCTTCTGCCAGTGCAAAACCTCCCAACTGGTAAAAGAGACATAGAAAGTTATATTTTTGTGAATGATCAGTTCTGACTGGATTAATTGCTAGACCCCTGGAGTAACTGTGTTGGATGGCAGCAGATTCATCCGGATCCTCTGTCCTGTACCACCCCTCATCTCCCATTTCCAAGAATTTTTGATCCAAACTGATGCAGATGTGTCGATTAAAATTAGATTACAATGCTATATAATGTTTGATCAGATCCAGAATTTAAAGTCGGGCATCAGTTATGTACTGTGGGCAATCAGCAGCAACAGAGCTGTACTCAAAACTCTATTTACAATGTCCTGGCTCAATATATTCTGCACTCTACCATTACCATCAGTCCAGGGGATCAGACTGGTTCAATGACGAATGCAGGAGAGCATACCAGGATCAGCACACTGCATTCCTAAAAACAAGGTGTCAACCTGGTAAAGTTACAGGATTACTTGCGTGCCAAACAGCATTAGCAGCAACTGATTGGGCAAGGCGATTCCACCACAAAAGGATCAGATCGAAGCTCTGCGGTCCTGCCATATCCAGTCATGAATCATCGTGGATAATTAAACAATTCACTGCAGGAGAGGCTCCACAGCTCTCCCAATCCTCAATGATGATGGAGCCCAACACATCAGTGCAAGAGATAAGGCTAAAGCATTTGCAACAGTTTTCAATCAGAGTGCTTGAGTGGTGGATCCAGATGCCAATCTTCAACCAAATCATTTCACTCCATATGGTATCATTAAATGGCTGAAGGGACTGATCCTGCAAAGGAAAATTGTGGAATATTGCCCAGATATGTCCTATGTTTAAAAAGCAGGACACATCTAAACCAGCCAGTTATCGCCCCATTGGTCTCTTCTTGGTCATCAGTGAAGTGATGGTTCCAGTCGTCAGCAGTGCTATCAAGCAGCAGTTGGTTAGCAGTGCCCAGTGATGCTCAGTTTGGTTTTTGCCAGAGCCATTCAGCTCCTGACATCATTACAGCCTCTGTTCAAATACGGACAGATAAACTGAATTCCAAAAGTGAAATGAGAATGACTGCTGTTGACATCAACATAATATTTGATGGAGTGTAGCATCAAGGAGCCCTAACAAAACTGAAGTCACTGGGAATCCGAGGAAACTCACTGTTTGGAGTCATGTGTAGCACAAAGGAAGATGGTTGTGGTTATTGGAGATCAGTTACCTTGGCTTCGGAACATCTTGCAGAAGCTCTTCATCAGTTTCATCAATGATCTTCCTTCCATCATCAGGCAGGAGTAGGGATATTTGCTGATTATTGCATAATGTTCAGGACCATTCACAACTTCTCAGATGCTGAAGCAGTTTATGTTTAAATGCAGCAAGATCTGGGCAAAATCCAGGATGTGGCTAAGAAATGACGAGTAATATTCATGTCACATAAGTGCCAGACAATGACTATCTTCAACAAGAGCGAATCAGGTATTGTGCCTTGACATTGAATGGCTTTACCATATGTGAATTCCACACTATCAACATCGTGGGGTTACCATTGACCAGGAACTGAACTGGAATAACTATATAAATACTGTGGCTGTAAGATCAAATCAGAGGCTCGGAGTCCTGCAGTGAATAACTCACTTCCCAACTCTCTAAAGTCTGTCCCTTATCTATGAGGTATAAGTCAAGAGTGTGATGGAATGCTCACCATTTATTTGCACAAGTACAGGTCCAGGACAAAGCAGCCTGCCTGATTCTTACCACAATCACACCCTGCTCCAACACCGACACTCCATCACAGCAATGTGTTCCTTCTACATGATGTACTTCAGAAATTCTTCATCATTCTTAGACAGCACCTTCTAAACCCATGACCATAATCATTTGGAAGGACAAAGACAGCAGATACATGGCAACATTGCTACCTGCAAGTTCCCCTCCAGACACATGCCATCCTAACATGGAAATATATTGCCATTTCTTGAGTATTTCTATGTCAAAATCTGGGAACTTCCTTCCTAACAATAGTGTGGATGCACCTACACCAAATGGTTGAAGAATGCAACTCATCACCACCTTCTCGAGCAACTAGGGATGGACAATAAATGTTGGCCCAGCAGTGACACCCAAATCACATTAATATATATTTTTAAAAATGGGTTTGAGAGGCAACCTTACAGAAGTTTATAAAATAATGAAGGGTATAGATAGAGTTAACGGTAGTTGTCTTTTCCCTACAATGGGGATTTCAAGATTAGAGGGTGCATTTGTAAGGTGAGAGGATAAACTTTAAAAAGACATGAGGGGCAATTTTTTTACATGGAGGGTGGTTCACATGTGGGATGAGCTTCCTGAGGAAGTGATGGATGTGGGTGAAATTAGAATGTTTAAAAGACATTTGGATAAGGACATGAATAGGAAAGGTTTGGAGGGATGTGGGCCCAGGAGCAGGCAGGTGGGACTAGTTTAGTTTGGGATTATGTTTGGCATGAACTGGTTGCACCAAAGGGTCTGTTTCCGTGCTAAATGACTCAGAGTCATAAAGGTCAGTTTGCACCCAGCAAGACAGTAAACAACGAACAAAGGGATCTTTTTGGATTGGAATGCTGTGGCAGTCTAAAGCAGATATGAGCTGTAACAAAAACAAAAATTTTGTGACCTGGTTATGTCACAGTAGTGTCAGGTCCATTTGGAATCTGATCAGTGAATCATCAATAGTCAATTATCCTGACCCAAAAATTGGCCAGGGTAAAGGATGAACCATTGAGGTGGGCTGGCCAAAGCAGAAGGTTTTGATTATTATAGCCAGAGCTATCTGTGTTAAACAACAAGAGCTCATAAAAAGCCAACTATATAATGGGCACTGGAGTTGCATATAAGGTCACCTGGAAGGTTCTCTAAGGGTCATTAATAAATCCCTTGGGTTTTTATGATAATTCAGTAGTTTTCATTGTCATTTTTCAAGGTGCTTGATTTATTAAATTCTGTTTTGCAACTTATCATCGTGTAATGAGTTGCTAGTCCAAAGCCATAACCATTCATACCTCCACACTCAAGCTAAGGCGCATCAATCAAGGAGTTGAAATTTCACTATGAACTTTATGAGCAAATATCAAATGGTTTATGAATGTATTTTTTGTGTAAGTTATTCCTCAACATTAAGAGGTTTAATATTTTTGTCCTGAACAAGGAGATCAAGATGTCTGGAAAATAGATTGCAAAATCTTTCAAAATGAAAGCCCTCTTACAGTTCATGGGGAGTTGAGAGTTTAGCAGTGTTATCACTTATAGTTAATCCAGAGATCCAGCAAATGTTCTGGGGACCCAGATTTGAATTCCACCATGGCAAACGGTGGAATATGAATTCAATAGAAGTCCGGGATTCAGAGTCTAATGATGACCATGAGTCCATCGTCAATGATTGTAAAAACCCATCTGGTTCACTGAAGTCTTTTAGGGGACAGAGATGCTGTTCTTGCCTGTTGTGGTGTACATGTGACCACAGCATGTGGTCGATTATTAACTGCCCTCTAGGACACCTAGGATGGGCAATAAATGCTGGCCTAGCCAGCGATGCCCTTATCCCAGGAATGAATTTTTAAAAATCAGTTATGTTGTAACTGGGAATGTCAATTAATCACAATAAACTCATCTGATTAGTGCATTATCTCCTTTGATGATTAATTTTTTAACCTATTAGTCAGGGAAGTTAGAGGGAGAAATGGCAGCAGAGCGAAAACTGGATACAGGGAAGAAAAGCCTGAGAGAGAAGAATTGCCTGAGAATGAGGTGGAGATGGATTCCATCATGGCTTTAAAAAGTGAATTTGATAATTATTTGAATAGGAAATAAAATATGCAGGACTGTGGGGAAATATGATGTGGAGGTGCGTGTGTTGGACTGAAGTCAGAAGTCACACAACACCAGGTTATAGTCCAACAGGTTTATTTGAAACCACAAGCTTTCGGAGCATAGCCCCTTTGTCAGGTGAAGTGAGAGAGAAGCACACAGAACACAGAATTCATGGGCAGAGAGATCAAGGGCAGAAAGATCAAAAGATCATACAAATGGTGAGTGGAGTGTTGAATAATAATAATCACCTGCAGGTGATCCGAAGTGTTAGACGTTGTGAGAAAAGTGGCAACAGCTGAATAACAATCAAAGGGATGACCTACAATCCGATTAAATGAGACAGAGAAATAATTACAAAAAATTAAAAGTAAGGTGGTGCCGGAGACAAAACAAATGACTGAAATAACATGGTAGGTATAAGAGTCGCATGCCAAGGGTCTAACCAAAGTTGTAAGTAATCCAAAACTGTACAAACTAATTAAGGTAGAGAGATCATAATTTATTCAGGTGATGGTGACAAAACAGGACAGTAAGGAAGATTTTACAGATACAGAACAGTGTGGTGGGGTTACATGTAGCACGACATGAACCCAAGATCACGGTTGAGGCCGTTTTCATGGGTACCGACCTCAGCTATCAGTTTCCGCTTGGTGATTCTGCGTTGTTGTGTATCTCAAAGGCTGCCTTGGAGGATCCTTACACGAAGCTTGGAGGCTGAATGCCCTTGATTGCTGAAGTGTTCCCTGACTGGGAGGGAACATGCCTGTCTGGCAATTGTTGCACAGTGTCCATTCAGCCATTGTCATAGCGTCTGCATGGTCTTGCCAATATATCATGCCTTGGGGCATCCTTGCCTGCAGCGTATGAGATAGACAACATTGGCTGAGTCACATGAGTATCTGCTGTGCACATGGTGGGTGATGCTCCCACATGTGATGGTAGTCTCCATGTCGATGATCTGGCATGTCTTGCAGCTATTGCCGTGGGTTTGTGGCATGTTGTGGCTGATGTTGTCCTGAAGGCTGGGTAGTTTGCTGCAAATGATAGTCTGTTTGTGGTTTGGTTGTTGTTTGAAGGTGAGAAGTGGAGGCGTAGGGATAGCCTTGGCAAGATGCTCGTCGTCATTGATGACATGGTGAAGTCTGTGAAGAACATAGCATAGACTCTCTGCTCCAGGGAAATACTGGACAACTAAAGGTATTCTACAGTTCGTATCCTGTGTCTGTCTTCCGAGAAGGTCATTGTGGTTTTTCACTATGGCATGTCGGATCTGGCGATCGATGAGTTGAGCATCATATTCCGTTCTTATGAGGGCATCCTTCAAAATCTTTAGGTATCCGTCATGTTTCTCCTGATCTGAGTAGATCCTGTGAATGCAAAGGGCTTTTCCATCGGTGATGGCTTCTTTAACTTGTTTAGGGTAGAAGCTAGAGAAGTACAGCATTGTGAGGTTATCCATGCACTTGCAGTAGAGTGATATACTGAAGTGTCCATCCTTGATGGAGATGCATGTGTCCAAGAATGAGACTGATTCGGAAGAGTTGTCCATGGCAAGTATGATATTGCTATATAGTCGTTTCAGTGATTCCTCGCCATGAATCCAAAGGAAAAAAATGTCATTGATGTATCTGGTGTATAGCGTTGGTCGGAAGTCCTGCCCAGAGAACAAGTCTTGCTCAAACTTATGCATGAAAATGTTGACATATTGGGGAGCAAATTTGGTTCCCATGGCTGTTCCGTGTGTCTTGATAAAGAACTGGTTGTCGAAGGTGAAGATGATGAGTTGTAGGATGGCATCTGGAAATTGGCAGTTGTTGGTATTGAGTACTGAGGTTGTTGGAGCATTGCCATCCTCAAGGGGAGTGCTGGTGCAGAGTGCAGAAACGTCCATTGTGATGAGGAATGGTCCTGGTTCGATAAGTCCATGGGTGCTGAATTTCTGTAAGAAGTCTGTAGTGTCACAACAGAAGCTGGGATTCTTTGTAGAGTGGGTTTCAAGATGCCCTCAACATAGTCAGAGAGCTTCTCACACAGGGTCCCGTTGCCTGATACGATGGGACATCCAGGTGTGTTGGCTTTGTGTATCTTTGGAAGGCAGTAGAAGTCTCCTACGTGGGAAGTACATGGGATGAGAGTGCATGGAATACTCTGAAGGTCTGGATCAAAGGTCTTGACCAGTCTGTTCAGTTGAAGGGGATATTCTTTGGTCGGATTTGGTCTGTAGTGTTCCTGGTTGTTCAGTTGTCAGTATGCTTCTTTGCAGTAGTGCATTCTATTCTGTATGACAATGGCTCCTCCTTTGTCTGCTGGTTTGATGATGATGTTCTGATTCGTCTTGAGAGCATGGATGGCGTTGCATTGTGCACTGTCTTGTGAGCGTGGCTGATTAATCTAGCGTTAATGCATCTCTTAATGGCTTGAGCATACATGTCGAGCCTAGGGCAGCGGCCTTCTGGAGGGGTTCACATCAACTCTTTCTTCTTTGGTCACTACACTGCGGATCTCTCTTGTCGACTGCTCTGGTTCATTGGTTGTCTCATTGGGCTCACTGCTGACATCTTGGGGTTTGTGAAAGAATTCCCGGAGCCCCATTGGCCTGATGAATTCTTCTGTGTCTGCCACCAGACCAATGGGGACGATTTTGGTAGTGGGGCAGAAATTGAGCCCTCGGGTGAGAACTTCGATTTTGTCCAGTTGAAGGGTATGGTCAGACAAGTTGATGTTGGATTTCCCTGTGGTGATACCAGTTTCAACCGTGGTACCAGGGGAGGCTTGGTTACTGCTGGTGGTGATGCCAAGTTTCTCCAGTTTCTTGTTCTTGGTGTGCATGCATGCAGTTGCCAGTTCCGATGTGCCACAGCGAAAAACTGCAACGACCTCCTCAGAAGACAGGCACAGGATACAAATGATAGCGTACCCTTTGTCGTCCAGTACTTCCCCAGAGCAGAGAGACTGCGCCATGTTCTTTGCAGCCTTCAACATGTCATTGATAGTGACGAGCATCTCACCGAGTCCATCCCTATGCCTCCACTGCTTGCTTTCAAACAACTACCCAACCTTAAACAGACCATCATTCACAGCAAACTACCCAGCCTTCAGGACAACACCACACGATCCTGCCATGGCAACCTTTGCAAGACACCGCACAACAATCACTAGATAGGCATGTTCCCTCCCAGTCAGGGAACACTTCAGCAATCAACGGCATTCAGCCTCCGGTCTTTGGGTAAGCATCCTCCAAGGCAGCCTTCGAGATACACAATAACGCAGAATCGCCAAGCAGAGACTGATAGATGAGTTCCATACCTATGAAGACGACCTCAACCGTGATCTTGGGTTCATGTCGCGCTTACAGGTGACCCCACCACACTGTTCTGTATTTGTAAAATCTTCCTTACTGTCCTGTTTTGACACCATCACCTGGATAAATGGTTATGATCTCTCTACCTTAATTAGTTTTGTACAGACCCTCGGCATGCGACTCTTTCACCTACCATGTTATTCTAGTCATTTGTTTTGGCTCCAGCACCACCTTATTTTTAATATTTTTGTAATTATTTCTCTGTCTCAATTAATTGGATTCTAGATCATCCGTTCGCCTGTTATTCAGCTGTTGACACTTTACTCACACCGTCCAATACTGCAGGTGGTGATTATTATTATTCAACAGTCCACTCACCATTTGTATGATCTTTTGGTTTCTCTGCCCATAAATTCTGTGTTCTGTGTGCTTCTCTCTCACTTCACCTGACGAAGGGGCTATGCTCCAAAAGCTTGTTATTTCAAATAAACCTGTTGGACTATAGCCTGGTGTCGTGTGACTTCTGACTTTGTGGGGAAATAGCGAGTAGAGTTGAGACCAGCTGAATTGCTCTTGCAGAAAGTTGACAGGAACGATGGGCTAAATGGCATCTTGTGCCTTAAACATTGCATGATCCCGTGGTGCTAAAGAGAAGTGATAAATATGTCTGTAATTCTCTGCTGGTGAATTATGTTTGCAACATTTTTCAGAATGAATATATTTCGAGAGAACTGGAAGTAAAGGAAAAAGAATTGGAAGAAATGAGGACTGAAGTTGCTCAACTAAATGCCAAATGTAAGCTTTTTTCAAAATAAAACTTCAAAATTGTTTTGTATAACCTGTATACAAAGGACAGTTTAGGCAATAATGAATCCTTAATTAGTGTGTTTAATAGTATAGCAATCTTGCACTAAACATGTCATTAGGGAATAACCAATTTCAGTCTCAAATCCTCTGATTTGAATGAAGCCAATTCAAACATGACCATGAGAAAGCAAGAACTGCAGATGCTGGAGTCAGAGTCAATACAGTGTGGAGCTGGAGGAACACAGCAAGTCAGGCAGCATGAGAGGAGCAGGAAAGTCAATGTTTCAAGTCAGGACCCTTCATCAGGACTAGTTACACCAGGTTGACACCTCATTTTCATGCAGGTCTGGTACTGCTGTTGGCATGCTGTCCTGCAATCTTCATTAAACCAGGGTTGATCTCCAAGCTGGCTGAAGCCCTCACCAATACCTTCATTATTTGTATCTCTCGATGTGGCTCTTTCAATGCACTTCTGTTTAGACTCCGATATTCTACTTTCCCAAAACTTCAGATCATTCAAGATTCTGCAGTTCATGTTTTAATTCATACCTAGTCTCTTTCTCTATCACTGCTGTTGATTGGTTCCTGATCAAAAAATGTCTGGATGTAAAAATTCTCTTTTCTTTTTAAATCCCTGCATGGCATTGCTCATCCGTATTTTTGTAACCTGCTCCAACCCTGCAACCTCAGGTATCTGTGTTCCTCTGAATACGTCCTCACCCGCATTACCAGTTATAATTGCTGCTATGTTCTGAGGAACCCCAAACGTTAACTATGTTTTTTCCTTCACAGATGCAGCCAGACCTGCCAAGCTTCTCTAGCACCTTTGTTTTTGTGCCTGATTTACAGCATCCACAGTTATTTCGGTTTTTATAATTGCTGCAGCTTTGGTGCTAGTGCCTTTGGTTGTCTTGGCCCCAATCTCCAGAATTTCCTTCCTATTTCTCTGCCTGTCTACCTCATCCTCCTGCTTTTAAGAGATTGGCCATCTGACCAGATAGCTCCACTGTGATTTGATGTCATATTTTGTCATCGTATGTGCCTGTGAAGCACCTTGGGATGTTACATTTTATTAAAAGTGCTAAATATGTTGTGATATACTTGAGTTACTTTGTGCTTTTGTAAAAATGCATGATTAATATGATTTCTTTTCATTGAGTTAAATCTGACAACTGTAGTTCCTTTACTAATGTGAGTAATATCGGTTGGTTACAGTAAAACAACTGGTAGAAGAGAATAAACAATTTGAAAGTGGTATGAAAGACATTTTACAAGCCATAAAAAGTACGCAAGTGGAAACCATTTCAAAAGGAGGGGAAGAAATCCTTAAGATAGAAAGTCTGGAGAAACTAGTTACTGTAAGTAACATTTTTTTTGTTCTAATTTCTAACTTGGAATGATATTGTCATTTCTTCACTGTCTCTGGGTCAAGATTCTGAAACTCCCTTCCTTACCGCACAGTGAGTGTACCACACTACATGGACTGCAACAGTTCAAGATAGTGTCTCACCACCACCTTCTCAATAGCGATTAGGGATGGGTAATAAATACTGGCCTAGCTAATGATGGTCTACATCCCTGAAAATAATAGCAAAAATAATACATTGGTTGGTGTACTAATCCAGTAAACATTCTGACACTTCGTGTGCTGACTCTTGAAGGGCCATTTCTTCCATTACAGCAGCTTTGCCCCATAATACTGAGAGCCAAGGATGGTTTGTTATTTACATCCTATGTTGTTCTGTTCTGTGAAATAAATGAGCATTTTCAATCAAAAGACATGTGTAAATAGATGCAGCAAGAGGAGTGCATATTTCTTGTAACAATATAAGGTGCTAGTAGATTTCCTTAGTTCCTTTTGCATCTTTCATGACATTATTCACTGGCAGTTCACATTCCTCAGTCACATGTTATGGACTAGACCAGACCCACTCAAAATATTTTCAGAAGGTAGGCTAGAGCCTAACTTTTTCTTATTTTAAAGGTAGGTGTGAAGTGCATGTTCCAGATGTGATGCAACTGGTCAAACCACTTGGCATTAAGCAAAGCATAATTTATTTAAACCCTATAATTAACATACAAACAAAAGAAAGAGGAATCTACTATAACTTAACATTTGGAAAACTTAACCGAATAATAGATACAGTATTTAGTACTAATTAACTGTTCCAGTATGGCAACATCCCATAAACACACCCATAGGCAAAAGGGTGAATTCAGACACAGATTCTTACGTGCAATTCAACATCAAGAGAGATTTCAGAACAAGTCACAATTAGGAATCATTTACTGAAATTCCAACTCTTCTGGCACCCAAACAGCTTCTCACTGCTACAGCTTAAAAAAAACTAGGAAGTCTGATCTGGGAGAACTAGCCACTCCCCTTCCATTGTTACATCTGTTTAAAAAAAACCTAAAGGCCTCTTAAATTATTGACTTGGCCAGCACTAGTAAACACTTCGACGCCTCTGAGTTTACAGCCTTTCTTCAAAAAAAAACAGGATAAAACAACATTGTTAAAGTGACAACGTTGTCACACACACAGCTTAAATATGATCCTAATTCTGCTCGGCTGTCTGACACAGCTTTCATATTTTTTTTTGACATTGTACTGGAGATTCATACTTAAAAATCATGATCTCTTTCAGTCTTGCACATTCTATCTCTTTTTCTCCATCTATCTGTGATTCCTCTGTATATTTCTCTCCCTATTTGTGACACTCTGAATTCTGCAATCAAAACTTTGTCAAACACTTTGCTGAAGTCCATGTAGACGACAAGTACTGCTCTGCCTTCATCACTCTTCTTTGTCACCTCTTGAAAATATTGAACCAAGTTCGAGAGATACAATTTCCCATGCACAAAGCTGTGTGAACTATCCCTAACCAGTCCTAGCCTTTCCCAATGCATGCAAATCCTGTCTCTCAGAATCTCTCCAACAACTTACGCATCACTGGCATAATGCTCGCCAGTCTATAGTTCACTGCCTTTTCTGTACAGCCTTTCATAAATAATGTCACCGCGTTAGCCAACCTCCAGTCTTTCGGCACCTCACCCGTGGCTCTCGATGATACAGATATCTCAACTAGAGGCCCAGCGATCTCTTCCCTAGCTTCCTACAAAGTTCTGGGAAACTCCTGATCAGGTTCCAGGAATTTATCTACCTTTATATGTTTTAAGACCTCCAGCACCTCCTCTTCTGTAAATGAACTTTTTTCAAGACATCACTATTTCCTCAAGTACCCTAGCTTCCATGTCCTACTCCACAGTAATGCTAAAGTGAAATATTCATTTAGTATCTCACCCATCTCCTGCGGTTTCACAAATAAATGGCTACGTTGATCTTTAAGGGGCCCTATCCTTTCTCTAGTTACTCTTCTACCCTTAATGTACTTTAAGAATTTCTTTGGATTTTCCTTAACTCCATTTGTCAAAGCTTTCTTATATCCCCTTTGTGCCCTCCTCATTTCCTTTATAATCCTCTAGGGATTCACTTGACCCCAGCTGTCTATACCTGATATATGCTTCCTTCTTTTTCTTGACCAGAGCCTCAACTTCTCTCGTCAACTAACATTCCCTGCACCTACCAGCCTTGCCTTGCACACTGACAGAACTATACTATCTCTAAATTCTCTTTATCTCATTTTTAAAGGCCTCTCACTTCCCAGCTATCCCTTTACCTGTGAATAGCCTCCTCCAATCAACTTTTCAAAGTTCCTGCCTAATACCATCCAAATTGGCCTTACTCCAATTTGATCAGTTCTACCTTTTCCATAACTATTTTAAAACTAAAAGAATTATGATCATTTGCCCCAAAGTGCTCCCCTACTGACACCTTGGTCACTTGCCCTGCCTTATTTCCCAACAGAAGGTCAAGTTTTGCTCCTTGTCTAGTAGGTACGTCCACATATTTAATAAGAAAGTTTTCTTGTTCACACTCAACAAATTTCTCCCCATCCAAGCCCTTAACAATATGACAGTCCCAGTCTATGTCTGGAAAGTTAAAATCCCCTACCATTACAAATCTATTATTTTTAGAGATATTGGAGATCTTCTATATTTGCTTCTCAACTTCCCATGACTACTGGGTGGGGGCTATAACACGATCCCAACAAGATGATCTTCCTTTTCTTATTTCTCAATTCCACATTTACAACTTCACTGGACAATCTCCCAGGAATATCCTGTATCAGTACAGTCGTAATCTTATCAGACCTGAAACGTTAACGCTTTTTCTCAGCAATTTCCTTTTTTTTTTCATTTCTGATTTCCAGCATCTGCAGTTCTTTTTAACTTTTTAACATACTCGATTGCCCTTTTGTTCCTAAAAACTGATGGGCAGACTATATCTAGGTGGGTATGAAGCCTCTGGACTAGCAGCACATTGTATTTTACATGCCTCCGCACTGAAAATCCATTTGATGGGGCTAAAAAATCCAGTCCCAAGGGTAAGTGATCTTTCTTACAAACTAAGTGATAAAATGTAACTGACTGTTGAGGACTGTGCAGTGACTAGCATGGCAGTAAATTGAGTTACAATACTGATCTTTCTTGATTTTAGTGGAACAGATTTGAGGAGCCAAACAACAATTTCTGTTCATAGGCTTACTGTTATTGCAGGTGTAGTTCTAGTGGGACATGCATACTGATTGAATAATGAATGAACAAGTTCCAAAAACTATATTCATGGGTGTCAGAAAAATCTTTTCACAGATAACATAAAAGAAAGACTTGGAAACTCGAA